TCTCACTCTCCACTCAACTCCTTCAACCCCCTCTTCCCTTTCATTTCCCCCTCTTCTTCTTCTCCTCCTCTTCGTCTTCGTCTTCGTCTTCGTCTTCGTCTTCGTCCTCCTGCTCTTCCTCCTCCTCCTCCTCCTCCTCCTCCTCCTCCTCCTTGTTCTTTTTCGTCTTCTTCTTCTTCTTCATTCTTTTGGTTTTGCAGATTTCTCATAGCGATTTCGCTGCTGCTGTTTGTTTGTCTTCTTTCCATCATCTCATTCTTTCTTCAGTTGGTCTTCTTTTTTTCAATTTGTGTTTTCGTTTACCAATCACTTTGGAACTCGTTGCCGACTAATTGATTAACCAATCGCGTAATTGAGCAATGAATCGTTTATTCAACGATTAGTAACTAATCAGTAAAACGACAAAACAATCAATCAATCTCTCGATTGGTTAATCAATTAGTCAATTTCTTGATGAACTTGGCATTAATTCGATCGAGTACGTATTAAAAGGATTCAATCCATAAATCAATAAATCTGTCGATGATTGAAACGATGCTAATCCGCTTCCTTTGGGAGGGAGGGAGGGACATCCCGTATTAAAATTGGAACGATTGTTACGACACAGAGAAGATTGATTAGCATGGGGCCCAATGCGCAAAAAGGATGATTGATTAGCATGGGGCCAAATGCGCAAAAAGGATGATTGATTAGCATGGGGGCAAATGCGCAAAAAGGGTGATTGATTAGCATGGGGCCAAATGCACAAAAAGGATGATGACTCGCATAAATCAAGACAAGAAACGACCTATTGAATTAAGTCTAATTGATACTGTCTATAAATCGATCGTGAAGTAGCATGGCCCCTGCGCAAAAAGGATGTCACGCATAAAAATCATGAAACGAGCTCATGAATGAGCATGCCCCCCTACGTCAACCAACAAGCTTATCAGTGTTTTTTTTTTTTTTTTTTTTTTTTTGGGGGGGGAAGAAATTTAAACTTTGAATATCAATAAAAGGAGGCCGGGACTATCTCAGTTTTTTAATCCACACCCCTGAACTGTTGAAATACAGACCCGATTTCAAAAACTCCTCTGGAAGCAGATGATGAGTGAAATACTACAATTCTGAATTACCTACTGTAGGGCTGGTCAGTTCACATGATGATGATGATATCTCAAGGCCGTAGCCCTTCATACTACTAGTAATAAAAAAAAAAAGAAGCGCTACTAGGCTACCAGCCGGGCCGTCCCGGTTACCTTGTTTTCCCGGGCGGCCCGGCCGTACAAGGACCAAAGAAGGTCCCAAAAAAAAATAAAATTTCCAAGAAATCCGAAAAAAAAATGGTATGTACTATGCAGAAAAATATACTGAACAACTTTTGCCTCAGGGTCGCATCGAAATTCTTAACCAAATAAAAAATATTTAAAAGAAAAAATAAAATAGAAAAATATGTTCTATTTTATTTGTATTTTGAACTAGGCTACCAGCCGGGCCGCCCGGGTCCCGGGTGGCCAGCCCGTGCAAGGACAAAAGAGGGTCCCAACAAAAAAAAAAAAATCCAAAAAATCCGAAAAAAAACTATGTTATGCAGAAAAATAAACTGAACAACTTTTGCCTCAGGGTCACATCGAAATTCTTTACCAAATTTAAAATATAAAATAAAATGTTAAAATATTTTTTATTTTTTTTAAACTTTAAATCTTTTTGGCCCGGCCGGGCAAGTGACCCCGGGCCACTCTGGTAGCCTAGATTTTGAACTATTTTCTTTATTTTTTTACGTGTTAATCAGTCCGTAAATTACGCTCATCAACGAACGAAAGAACGAGCGAGTTTGTCAGAGATGAACGAGTAAATGAATGAATGGCCGAAAAAAAAAAAAGAATGATTTAATAATTTTAATTTTAATATTTTCAATCAGTCTTATCTGTCGAACTCTTACTCAATTGATGACTAGACAGAAAAACTCGTTATCGAACGGATCAATCAATGGAGATTTTTTTTTTTTTTTTTTTTTTAATAACTAAAATACCGACTTTCTTTCCAACTTAGATCGAGGCCGGCGACCTCCCAATTCAATCCGGTAGAACTTACTGAGCGCATCATCATACTCAGCTTCGCTTACCTTCATCGACCCAATTGAAACCATAAGCTACCGTCTGCACAACTACCGTCTTCACCCGAATAGAACGCCCGGTAATTATCGCCGTATCTGGGCTGAAAGTTGTGCCAAATACAGATATAACGACCGGGCGTTCTATTCGGGTGAAGACGGTAGGCTTCAGTCACATCACATACACGAATCAATCGAAGTCATCAGGATCCATGACCGGACCCAACATCGATCAATTTTAAACAATAAGCTAATCTACAGAACTACCGTGCTCACCGGAAAAGAACGCCCGGTCATCATCACTGTATCTAGACTGGAAGTTGCTCCAAATACACAGCAGCAGCTATAATGACCGCGGGGGCGTTCTGTTCGTGTGAAGACGGTTGGCTTCAGTCACATACCAATGTCTTTTTTTTTTTTTTTTTTTTTTTTTTTTCATGTTTGGCGCCGCCAGTTTATTTCTTTGGATCCGCATTTAACGTCGATGTTCCTGGCCGTAATCTCGACGTAATCTGAACCGAAATCGTCAGAGGTTGTACTGAAGGGAACCCAGTAAGCCCTTACCACGATTTCGGTCCAAAAGAACCCGAAATTGCCGCAAGGAACGTCAACGTTAAATGCCCAAAGGGGTATTAATAACTACTATTAAGTATATTACGTTTTGGGTCTGCCAAGGAGTATTAGTTTTTTTTTTTTGTTTTGTTTTCTTAATGAGCACACAAGTTTCAATCAGAATGGAGATCATTCCAGTCTTTCCAATCCACCTTCCTCTCTCTCTCTCTCTCTCTCTCTGGGTGCTTCTCGCTCTCTCTCTCTGTGGGTGCTTCTCGCTCTCTCTCTCTGTGGGTGCTTCTCGCTCTCTCTCTGTGGGTTTGTCTCAGTCTTTTCCAGTCCACCTTCCACTCTCTCTCTCTCTCTGTGGGTTAATCTCTCTCTCTCTCTCTTCAAAAAAAAAAAAAAAAAAAAAAAAAAAAGGAAGTATTATGGTTGGCCGGCACATGAAACCATACAGCATTGCAAGACAATAACAGCTTTTTTTAATGGGTCATCATTATCATCATCATCGTTCTTGTGTACATGTTATGGTTGATGGTCGGCTACTATGGATTCAAGATGCAATGCAAGACAATAACAGCTCTTTTTTGTGTTGAGTACAACAAATAAAAATTGCAGGGAGTGCTGCTCTTTTCTTCGGTTCCTGTGACGTAGCTGCTTTTCTTGAATAGTTGTGTGGTCATGCATGTGGCCGGTGGAGGGAGGAGGGAGTCAACGTCCTCGTTATGCTGATCGTCATCCATGTAGTGGCAGCACAATGATGTATAGGTCATCATCATCATCATCATCATCATCATCATCATCATCATCATATCCCCAGTAAGTCATTATCCTCCTCACTATCATGACCATCATATCCCCAGTAGGTCATCATCATCATCATCATCATCATCATCATCATCATCATCGTCATCACCATCATCGTCATCATCATCGCAACGATATATAGCATAACACATGACGATTACCATAACACATACAATGCTGCTACGTTCAGCACTCTTTTCCCACATCATTATCATCATATCCCCATTGCCACTAGGTTATCATCATCATCATATCCGCACAAGGTCATCCTCTTCCACCTCTCCATCGTCCTCCTCCTCCTCACCATCATCATACCCCCAGTAATCATCATCATCATCATCATATCCCCAGCAGGTCATTATCCTCCTCACTATCGAGGCCGTCGTATCCCCAGTAGGTCATCATCGTCGTCATCATCATCGTCGTCATCATCATCATCATCATCATCATCATCATCATCATCATCATATCCCCAGTAGGTCATCCTCCTCCTCGACACCATCATCACTATTATCATCATATTTTTTAGTATATCATCGTTATCGTCATCAGCACCATCCTCATCACATTCATTGTCATCATCATCTTGCTCATGATCTTCTTCTCGAACTTCACGAGGCTGGAGCAAGGAGTGTGTTGGGAGGGAGTCGATGGGGGAGGGAAGCACAACTCATCGTCGCCACGACTACCGGGGGTAGCACATCGAACATTACTCTCCCAAGATCATCTAAGGCACGTGGCCATTGTGCTCTTACAAGCGGAATGAGAAGAGGAAAAGGATGGAATTTCTGATCTTGTATACAATTGGAATCACAACCGCGATTGGACAACAAGCATTGAAGTTTCATCGCCGAATTCATGTCATGTCATGTCATGTCATGTATAACAGCATACATATGATACTCAGGACAGTCACAGGGAAGTAAGTGTACATGGAAGTCGGTCGCCATGATGTAAGTCATGGCATGCATGAGTCTACCCTACCATGTCGGCAACGGTGGAGAGAGTCATCATGAGAATAACGATCATGTATTTGAATGCAAGTCGAGACGGGAGAACCGCTAACGGTTGTCTTATCCTATCTCCTTTGAGTGAAGGCGAGGGAGGGAAGGAGAGGGAAGGAGGGAAGGAGAGGGAAGGAGGAAGGGGGAGGGATGGAAGGAGAGGGAGGGAAAGAGAGGGAGGGAGGGAGGGAGGGAGGGAAGGGGAAGCACTGGAAAGGGTGATCAGTGAAGCCATGAACAGAAACAGGTGTTGTTCACGCCATTAACAATAGTCTGCTTCTTACAATCCTCGCCACTAACGGAAATGCATTGACCTTCTGCCACTGGAAAAGAATGTCTGGGTTGTTTGTAGTCTGACGACGGAATTTTCGATTCGCTGTTTGAGCAGATCCCACTCCCTCTGCGAATTTGAATCTGATCGTCTATTCAAGCTGCGGGAAAAAAAATAGTATGCTCTCTTGTGGGATGGCGGTTGGTGATTGGTGTTGGTGATTGATTGGTGATAAGCCTTGGTGATTGGTGTTGTTGATTGATTGGTGATAAGCCTTGCTGATTGGTGTCGTTGATTGGTGTTGATGTTGGTGATTGTTGGTGCTGGTGGTGGTTTGCGGGATGGGCATGTTAATGGATTTGTGGGATGGCGGCGGTGATTGGTGTTGATGATTGATTGGTGATAAGCCTTGGTGATTGGTGTTGTTGATTGATTGGTGTTGATGATTGATTGGTGTTGATGATTGATTGGTGATTGGTGTTGTTGATTGGACATGTTAATTGGATTTGTGCAGTTAGTGCCAGCAGTAACAGAGCTTATAGTGGCAGAGCTTCTGTATCTTCAATGGCTAGATCCTCGGCAGCCCATCTATTTGTACGTCAATTCAACAGGCACATCTCGTGCAGATGGTGAGACTGTGAGTATCCATCTCCCACTGCCTCCTCTTGCCTCCTTGATAGTATGCTGCTCCCTCCTCCTCCTCCTCCTCCTCATGCCCCATTTTTTTTCTTTTGCCCTTTTCCCTCTCTCCTCCTCTTCCCTTCTTTCGTATTTTTCCAGCACAGACAGATTTTGCTGACGGTAGGATGACAGCCCTCTCGTCTTCCTTGTGGCTCAGTTTCTGCTTGCTCCCTTCCCTCTCGTGTCCCTTGTCTTTCAGTTTTTTTTTTTGTTGTAATGTCTCCTTCCCTCTCGTGTCCCCTCTCTTTCTGTTCCCCTCCACCCCCCCCCCCCCCCCCCTCTTTTTTTTTTTTTTTTTTTT